CTAGTTAAGAATAGGAGAAAAAGACACTCCTAACCTCGGTCGACACATTCCAACGCCCAGAAACAGCATAAGGTCGACTGTTTTGCCTGCCTATCACCAGTCAAAATCAGCAACTTCTGTAGTACATGGGTACATTGTCACTGCGACAATACAGTACCTAAAGAGTACTACGGTTTCATGATGAGTCACCCCTGACAATGGTTCTGGTACATCTGCCCTCGGTGTAGAGTTTCTGATGTGCTGACAAAGCCACAGGTCCCAGCTCAAATCAGCCCCAAAGTCAAAACGACCAAACCAAAATCGCCTGACACTAAACCAGTAAAACAGGTGACTAAGACTACCATAAGCCCGCCTAACACACCGACAAAACTGCCGGTTGTTGTTAACCCCCCAGTATCTGCCAGCAACACGAAACAGTGGGTGGAAGTGAAGAAGGGAAAGAGCAACACCCCAAATCACAAGCGGCTTCCACCCAAGACCAGGGGCGACAGATCTAACCCACTTATTTTATATAATGTCCCAGTATCAGAAGGAAGCTTGCTAGAAGGTAGCGCCACCTTCGACAAAGAGCAGTGGGATAAACTCTTCTCAACCCTTTGAATGTGCGACGTACCAGCCAAAATATGCCGCCTTTTCAAAGGCCAAAATGCATTGAAAGGAAAAGTCCCTCCAATGAGGGTAACTCTTGACTCGGCACGACTTGCTGAAGACATCATCCTTTCGTCCCAAGGACCATCGGTCAAATTGTCCTCACTGATTCGCATCAGGCATGTCAAGCCGTGGTCGATACGTGCAGCAGCCAGAACTGCGCCAGACACCCAAGAACAGACCAACATGGTAGTTCACAGTATACCCGAACTCACCAGCGGTAACACAGACGAAGCTCACGAGCACGATGTGCAACAGTGGCGATGGCTGTCGCGTAGCCTATCCCTCCACACCATGATAGCAGTTTGCATTTCCAGGTTACCCCGCCCGTCACACCTTACGTTTATCAAGTCACCACGCCTGATGGCTGTAACATTTAGGAACCGGGAAGACCTGACCGAAACACTACAAGCTTGGTACAGTTCGAGGAACGATCTGTCTAGCCACATCAGGTGTTGCGAAAGCCGACCTAGATCTGTGAGACAACAGCAGAGGGGCCAAAATGAACGTACAAAACTGATAGTTAACCTCGGTCAACTACCCCTGGCACAAGACGTGATTGAACCAACCGCGCAAGCAGGAAACCTGCAGAGGCCAGTTCCTACAGAACTGGCCGATTTGGTTTGAAGAACTTGTCTGATAATCCGATAACGGCTGCTGCTGCAAATGTGCACCAGGTTCAGAAACAAACCACCAAGTGCCTCTATAGCAACGTAAGTGGACTAAGGGGTAAGCTGTTAGAAGTCAGGAATATCCGCTCTCAGATGGATCTGAAGATCATAATCCTAACAGAAACATGGCTATCCCCTGACATTGCAGACGCAGAAGTGGGCTTGCCAGGCATGACACTCTTCCGAAGCGATAGGCAAACACCAAACTGGAGGTGGAGTGGCGATATATATAAATAGCAACTTAAAAGCAGAGTGACTATACGACACACAACTAACTGAGGTGACAGAATCATGTTGATGTTGTTTCCACTTGAATGGCACGAAATACTTGACTGGAGGGATCTACCGACCTCCTTCGGGTACTAAGGCCCACAAAAGCAAACTGATTGAGGTAATACTGCAACTGCTACTCCTAGGGTTTAATCAAATACTCTTTAGCCGGAGATTTCAATACTCCATCTTTAAATCTCAGCAATCGGAGTATAACTCGCATTGGTTGGTTTCAAAGACAACTTGTTACAGCCATTAGAAGCTCTAGGCTGACTGAGCACGTACGCAGTGCCACCAGGTGGATTAAGGAAGAGAATTACCCAAACCTAGATTTAATATTTACGAATGACCAGCTTCTGGTTGAGGATATTCTCGTGCGCGCTCCAGTAGGTAGTAGTGACCATGGCACAGTCCTGCTTAACATGGTCACAAACGAAACGCTGACACCGGACGATAACGAGCCTTACCTTTGCTACAGTAGGGCAAACTACACACGCATGAGAGAGGTTCTCCTACATGCCCCAATGGCCACGGGAATAGTAGAGGCTGACAGTAGATGATCACTGGCAAGCAGTGAGAGATATCATCCAAAACGCTGTCGTAGACAACGTACCTCATTCACACCAAAACCGCGAGAACAGAAGAACCTGGGTTAGGTGGGGCACTGAACGCTTGCTACCAGCGTAGAGGGAAGCCTGGCACAAGTGGAAGGTCTCCTTGTGGGATTCCAATCGCAGTTCTTACTTGACATTGAGAAACAGATGCAATACCAAAGTTCGAAGTGACAGGAGAAAATTCCAGACGAAGCTAGCCAACAGAATAGAGGCAAACCCGAAACATCTGTTTAGGTTCATGTCCAAAAGAAAACCTACTAATCAAGGGTTGTGTTCCCTAGAAGGGCCAAACGGGGGAGACCCCACCAACCTAGAGATGGCCGAGATGTTCAAAATCACCTTTGCTGATCGATTAAACCAGGCGCCTACATGTTCATAATATTATGCCAACCCGATGCCAGCTGACGTCATAGGGAACATCCGTATCACTCCTGACCTAGTATTCAGGAAACTAAAATCTTTACGCCCAGGTAAGTCACCAGGTTGTGACAAAATCCACCCCATAGTCTTGCAGCAGTGTGCTGAAGTCCTCTGTTCACCGTTATGCAACCTGTTCAGGCATTCACTGGAGTCACACCAATTCCCAGCTGAATGGAAACAAGCTACTCTCTCTCCAATCTTCAAAGGAGGAGATAGAAAGTGTAGAATCCTTTTTGAATGTTTTGTTTTTTGGAAAATCCCTCCATGTTTACATATTTTTGTTATGACATGACGGACTCTTTTTGTTGACATTTTTGGTATTTTATTCGATTCCAATTTGAGATTTTATCATTGTATATTGTTATTATTTCTATATTTTGTACTTATATTGAAGTTTTTATGTTTGCTTCTGAACTGTATATGTTGTTTAAATTTGATCTTTAATATAGCCACAGCCATATTTGGATTGATACGGTGGCGGTTGGACTTAACGTCACTTATTCCCCTTTGCCTTGGATACTCTTCGGAGTAATTGTGACCTGGAAAAAGCATCAACTCCAGGTATTGCTTTGTATTTCCATCTTTTAATATAATATAGACCGTTTTTTCCTAGAATAATCGTGTTTTTAATATTGGACTGGGAGATACATGTTCGAATTGCACTTACTGGAAACCATTGGAACTGCTACGGTTGAAAATCCATTTATAGAAAGGACCCAGCCTGTTACAGACCTGTCGCACCACTACCTATATTATCAAAGGTTATGGAAGGACTAGTGGACGAACAAATGAGGGAGTACGTGGATAAGAATAAAATACTCCATGAAGCTCAAAACGGGTTTCGGAAAGGAAGGTCGTGTTTATCTAATCTTCTCATCGCATGGGACAGATGGACATCCTGCTTGGACCGTAAAATACCAGTGTACGTAGTATTTCTCGACTTTTCAAAAGCCTTTGACACAGTGCCCCACGCACGCCTAATCGAAAAGGTTGTGGAAATGGGCTTCATTGACCCACTCCTATCTTGGCTCAGAAACTAAATTGAGAATAGAAAGTTTCGCGCATTTATTTTTACCCTGTTTAAGACGTATGTTCGCCCATACTTGGAGGTTCACAACGTCATCGCACCCCTCTGCTTAAAAGAAACATAAATCTCCTGGATCGAGTGCAGAGACGAGCAACCAAATGGGTGATAGGGTTGAAAAATAAACCCTACGACGATAGACTCCAGCTCCTGGGATTGTTTACACTGAGCTACAAGAGAATCAGAGGTGACCTGATTATGGCGTACACCATATTAAACACGCCAAACCATCCCAATGTGAGCATCTCACCGATGCATCACCACCACCCCCGTCGAGGCAATCCTCGAAAGATTGCACATCAAAGAGCAAATACTCAGATTCGTGCACACTTTTTCTCATTACAAGTTGTCGCAACTTGGAATGCTCTCCCAGTCGAAGTAGTTACAGCCCCTTCAGTGGACTGCTTTAAGGAGAAACTTGACAATCACGTACTCACATACGGACTGTCATCTCCCTCTTGGACAAGCCGTTCATGATGCATATCTTGAGACCTGCCAGTTGTTACCATTGCCATCACCTCAGATTACTCAATTGTTCTATCTGGTCTATTATCTTTACACTTCGGTCCTCTCACACATTCTTGACTAACAATTAACAAACTAAGTTCATCTACATATATTTCAGTTCTGAAATTTTATTCATATTATCATTAGAATTTTATCCTTATTACCCTTATTACTCTCCACATTGCAAATAACTGATCTCCGGTCTGGTAATGTGATGGCTGCTAGTATCCAGAAACCCTACTGCCCTGAAACAAACGTTTTCATTCAAATCTCGAGGCATGCAAACTCACAACCAACTGCCAACTCACTAGAAATAGACAGTCGAGTGGCTAGACCTCCATCCATTTGACATTACCGAACACCTGGAATGGTACAGAAAGAACAAGAATCGAGCGCGAAGAAATCAAATTGGTTTACACTGGCTCGTGAAAAAGATATTGGATATTGGGTATTGGTAAGAGGTGATTTGAAACCAGGTGGTGCGTAACACATTCGAAACCTTACGCTACCGACTTGTTGATCTGATTGTCAGGTAAACTTCATCTCATGATTGAGTTGGTTCTAAATGTTTTCGATTGCTTGCTTCATCAAAGGCAAGTGCGTTATATGTGATTTCTAGGTCGTTGGCTCAGTTTCCACTTGCTCTCTCTTCCAGTTAATATCTGTATATACTGCTTCTCACTGCCTCAGCACATAAGATAGTTCCTGGCTAGACGCTCAAACCTACCAAAGGTTGAAGTTCTAATTGGCCATCCAGTATTACTGTGGCGGCTATCAGGTCTATTCATGGTATGTTCACGTTTCACATGTGTTTACCTAGTAGGAACAAATCACCTCACAAGTTCTAAAATCATTTTTTGTGGATTCAAAAACAAAAAGTAAGTCGCTTTTTTGGCTTATTCATACTAATAGTTAACAGTGAAGCAACGTCTCTGTGTGATCACTTAGTGGAACTTTATTTATCAGGTTAGATTTTTTTTTCTGATTTATCTAATACATTTTAGAAGCCCTTACTCGATCTATTGCTATCGCGAAACAGAATAAAAGAACGTCAGTCACCCCAGAAGATTTTGAAAACATCCTTGTCCAAATGTTTTTAGATTTCTCTGCTTGATTTACAAGATGTCGGTGACAGAAGTAAGGAGCTTACTGTTACTGGTAATCGATATGAATCCTGCCTCTTGGGGTTCTTGTATAAATGATTTTGGTTTGCCAAATTGCATTGAAGCAGTACTTGGTTTTGCAAATAGTTATTTAATGTTGTCTCCACATAATGAATTAGCAGTAATAGGAGTTACACCATCTGAAATAAAATTCATATATCCAAACCATTCGGAACCTCTAGCTGGTGCATCTTCTAATGATGGACAAAATGATGCTCTTAGCTGCATGAATAATACTGTCAGGCAACTTTCATTAAAACTTGTAACATCTTGCTCTTCTACAAGTACACAAATAGTTCTGGCTGGTGCTATAATAAAAGCATTGTGTTATTACCTTCGGCGCTGTCGTGAATTGCAACCTTCTACAAGACATTTAGATGATTCTTCTGAAACAAATATGGAGTTTAGTGAAGGAAATGAAAAGATTTCATCTCGGATATTAATCATTAAGGTGTCTGATGACAATTCCTCTCAATACTTAGCATTAATGAATTCGGTGTTCACAGCTCAAAAGCTTCATGTTCCGATAGATACATGTGTGTTACCATTACCACAACAGTCAGATAATTTAAGCAGTAAACGTGTATTAAACTCTTTGGGACATTCAAGTCTTCTGCAACAAGCTGCAGATTTAACTGGTGGAATTTACTTGCAAATACCAAGAGTTTCTGGATTATTACAATATTTACTATCTGTATTCTTACCATCGTCTAAATTAAGAACATCTCTTTTACTTCCAGATAGTCGATCTAGTGGTTTGTCGTTTGGTGTTGACTTTCGAGCTGCATGTTTCTGTCATAAACGATTAATTGATATTGGTTATGTTTGTTCTATATGTCTATCTGTATTTTGTGAGTTTAATCCAATATGCCCTACTTGTAATACTCCTTTTGTATTACCCACTGTACAAAATATGTAAATAAAGATAAAAAAACAAGGGGCTCATGCTTTTCTTGCTTCTATTCGACAATGGATCCTGACAAAGAAGTTGGATTAATGTTGGTCTAAAAGATCACAGACACATAAAACGCAGAAATTCGTACTTAAGTACATCAGTTCAGGTTGCCATACCACATCAGCACACAGACGCAACTGTCAGATCAAATCCAAGAGTGATAACGATAGCAGAAGTATTAGCAGTAATAAAGAAGATTACAGTTCGAAGATATGATTCGATAAGTATAATTTAGTGAGATAAATTTAGAAAGAGAAAGACAGGTTATGAAAAATTCAGGTTAGAATTAGAGAGAACACAGAGTGGATGCATCTGCGCCATTGCAAACGATTCTGACCCATGTCTTTCAAGGTCTCTAACCATCGGTGACTTTCATCTCGTGATCCCAACCAGGTAGCATACATCTAACAACATGGTTCAGTCCGCTTGTCAGTGGCCAGTGAGAGTAGAAGATATTCGTAGGCTACTGGTTTTCGATCATAGGTGTCTTCGAAGCATTGCTCGTATATCCTGGGACACCCGAGTGAGCAACGCTGTTATTAGGAATCGGGTGCTAGGTAATAATGGCAGATCGATAGATGAAGTGGTGAAACTTCATCAGTTGAGGTGGTTGATACATGTGTTGCGTATGCCTAACCACCGACTGCCTCGAAGAGCTTTGTTTTGTAGTGTAGGAAAAGGTTGGAAGAAAGTTAGGGGCGGCCAAACAAAAACATGGCAGAAATCCATGAAGTCATTGACGAGTGGACTTAGCCATGTCGGTAACTGTTGACTACCTGGTTGGGGTCGGCGAGATGATAATAATCGATGGTTAGAGATTATGAATGACATGGCTCAGAGTCGTTCGCATTGGCGCCGGTGCATTTATTCTGTGAGTTCTCTCAAATCCTAATCTTCTGGATTCTTCAACACCTCTAGTTTTGACTTTTAAACTTTTCTCATTAAATCATACTTCTTGAATAATATCTTCTAATCCTAACCTCTCCGATCACTTCTAATACCTTTACTACCTCTTCTACTATTGGATTTGAATTGACAATTACATCTGTCTGTGCTGATGTGGTATGGCGACATGAACTGATGTACTTACGTACGAAGTTCTACGTTGCATCTGACTGACCACTTGTCAGTGACTTCATGAATTTCTGCCATGTTTTGGTTTGGCCGCCCCTAGCTTTCGTCTAACCTACTGCACCACAAAACAGCTCGTCACGGCAGTCGGTTGTCGTTCATTTGTAACACGTCCCAACCACCTGAACTGATGACGTTTCACCACTTCAGCTATTGATTTGCCATCCCTACCTAGAACTCGTTTCCTAACGACAGCATTGCTTATACAGTTGTCCCAGGATACACGAGCAATGCTTCGGATACCGATGAACGAAGACTAGTAACCTACGAAAGTCCTCCACTCTTAACGGCCAAGTTTCGCATCCGTACAGAAGGACGGAGCGAACTGCTGCACAGTACACTCGTCCTTTGGTTAGCAAGCGGATATGTCGCCTGTGCCATAGGTGACGCAGGTTGGCGAAAGCCAGTCAAGCCTTCTGTATCCGAGCTGAGATTTCAGAGACCACAGAACTCATGGGACAACTTCTTGAGGCCGGTTGCACACGGTCTTTATTGGGAAAGTTTATGAGCTGTGAGTTCCACTATACCAATGGCCTTACGGACGGAAATCCGTGAGGTGTGACATCTTTAAGGTCGACCGTTTCCAACACCTTCCTTCCTTGTGAGAAGGCAGTATCACTGCAGTTGCTGGTTGCCCGAAGGAAGCACCTTACTGCTGTCACACCTCCATACATTCAGTTGTACGACTTGGCCCTAAGACCTTAAGTTGCTGCTTTAATCTTACTGTTCTCTAGTTGACCTGCCTAGCATGTTACTACTTAAAGAAACACATGTTCCAGCTAGTATAGCTCGGTTGTGTCATCACGACAGACCAGTCCGAGCACCACTCAAAATAGCAGCTACAGTTTGCTTATTAACGCTTCCCAACGTCCTGCGTTCGCTCACTATTGTTTTGCTTGCATGCCTTGTCATGTTGGCTTCAGTCAGTCAGTCAGATGCAACGTAGAACTTCGTACGTAAGTACATCAGTTCATGTCGCCATACCACATCAGCACAGACAGATGTAATTGTCAATTCAAATCCAATAGTAGAAGAGGTAGTAAAGGTATTAGAAGTGATCGGAGAGGTTAGGATTAGAAGATATTATTCAAGAAGTATGATTTAATGAGAAAAGTTTAAAAGTCAAAACTAGAGGTGTTGAAGAATCCAGAAGATTAGGATTTGAGAGAACTCACAGAATAAATGCACCGGCGCCAATGCGAACGACTCTGAGCCATGTCATTCATAATCTCTAACCATCGATTATTATCATCTCGCCGACCCCAACCAGGTAGTCAACAGTTACCGACATGGCTAAGTCCACTCGTCAATGACTTCATGGATTTCTGCCATGTTTTTGTTTGGCCGCCCCTAACTTTCTTCCAACCTTTTCCTACACTACAAAACAAAGCTCTTCGAGGCAGTCGGTGGTTGGCTTCAAAACCTCACAGCTCTATTTCAGTAAACACCATTTTAAAAAATATGACTGGACATATTTGTGGACTGCATCGCTGATCACAGACCACCCAAGTTTACAAATTTGTTAAATAGCAAACGTTTGTACTTAATTTCCGAAAATCACACTGTACGTGGCAAGTTTAGGTGAGGAAAGTATGATGAGTAGGTCCTTCCAGTTTTATAACCGAATTAGCTCCTCATTCCTAAACCGCAGTATCGAAATTCACCAGCCTACCATGTACTTTACCCTTGGCATTTTTGTCTGATGACAAGTAACACCAACTACTTGAGGAAAACTAATTTCTGGGCTGATCAGCCATATATTCTCACTAAAATTTACGTCTAGATTACTACGTTAGATGATAACTTCTCGGCGTTTTTGTTTTGAGTAGTCAGTTTATATTAGGTAAAGTTTTAATAACATTGGAAGATTTGGGATACTTGTTTTGCACATTATACTCTAAAGGCGTAGTTTAGTACTTTGTGATTTATTAATTTATTCACATCTCACTTGGTCATTGGGAATTAGCTGGCAGACAGACACAAGAAAGATACAACGCAGAACTTCGTACGTACGTACGTACGTCAGTTCACGTCGCAAAAACCACATTAGCCCAGAGACGCAACTGTCAGTTCAAATCACAGAGTGATAGTGATAGTCGAAGTATTAGTAGTAATGGAGAAGATTAGGGTTCGAAGATGTTATTCAAGAAATAAAATTCGGTGAGGTAAATTTAGAAAAAGAAAGATAGAGGTGATGAGGAATTCAGGTTAGAATTTCATAGAACACAATGAATAAATGTTCCTGCGCCATTGCGAACCTCAGGGTCTCTAACCATCGATTATTATCATTTCGCGGACCCCGATCAGGTAGTCGACACCTACCGACATGACTCAGTCCACTTGTCAGTGACTTCATGGATTTCTGCCATGTTTTGGTCTGACCGCCTCCAACTTTCGTCCATACTATTCCTGTATCGCAAAACATAGCTCCAAGAGGCAGTCGGTGGTTAGGCATACGCAACACATGTCTCAACCACCTCAACTGATGAAGTTTCATCACTTCATCTATTGACCTGCCATCCTTATCTAGCACCTATTTCTTAACAACAGCATTCCTTACTCGTCTGTCCCACGATACTTAAAGCAATGCTTCGGAGACACATGATCGAAAACCGGTAACCCAAAAATATCTTCTTCCCTGACTGGCCATGTTTCACAGCCATAAAGTAGGACGGAGTGAACTACTACGGAGTACACTCGTCCTTTAGTCAGCAAAAGCATATCTCGCCTGCACCATAAGTGACGTGGATTGGCAAATGCCAGTTGAGCTTTCTGTATTGCTGCTGAGATTTCGTCAGTCACCATGTCATTGGCACTGACGAGCCTCCCAAGATGAGTGAAGAGGTCAACACGCTCAACTGCTTCACTTCCTATCACTAGTTCAGTTCCCGACGCAACCCAATCTTGAAGCAACATTTTGTATATCGATGGTGAGAACCGCGACCCGGACATGCTTGCATTGTTGCTCAATGTAGTTAGAAGACTCTGTATTTTGTCAGCGTCTTCGACGAATAGAACCATGTCATCAGCGTATTCTAAGTCGACAAACAAGCCACCTCATAGAAGGTCTACTCCTGAAAATTCCGATGAGGATAATGTTGTATCTAGGAGCATATCAATGACAAAGTCAAACAAGAATGGAGAGTGGACATCCTTGACGGACACCACTTGAAGTAAGGAATTCCGGTGACAGTTCGCCATAAGCTCTAACACGAGCAGTGGTGTTCGAGTATAGAGCTTGTATAAGTTTAATGTACTTCTCTGGTACACCTTTCGAAGACAGACACTGCCACAGAACCTCACGATCCACTCAGTCGAATGTCGCCTTAAGGTCCAGGAAGACGACTATTGTAGGACGCCTAAATGTGTGTCTGGGTTCCAGGACCTGTCGTACTGTGAAAATGTGGTCTATACAGTCACGTCCAGGTCTGAAAAAAGCCTGGTTTTCTCGAGTCTGCTCTTCACGAGCTGTAGTTAGGCGTCTAAAGAAAATCGAGGCTAACAGTTTAGAAACTATATTAGTTAGACCGATTCCCTTGCGATTTTCACAAGAACACTTGTCCTTTCTTATAAATTGGGACAATCAGAGATTGGGACCACTCGGATGGGGTTGCGTCCAGTTCCCAGATTCTACATAAGTTCTCAGTCAATCTAACTGCTAAGACTGGACCACCATCCTTAAATATCTCAAGAGTCAATCTATCAGGGCCTGCTGCCCGCCCTCGCCTCAGATTTCCTATAGCTTCCCCAACTTCATAAAGATTCGGGGGACTTATGTCAATTTGCCATTCCGGACGACTGGAGATCGTGGGTAACCAAAGTGTGACTGAAGA